TTCCCCCCCCCCCACCCCCCGCACTGACCAGCCATCTTGACTTCCAGCCCATATGGGGGGTCTGGGTCTCTTGGAGGGGGGGAGCAGGCTGTGAGTGTTATCAGAGAAAAATCAAGGAGGGTGAGGGGGAGATGACCCCATTGATGTCTACCGAAGTTTCATATTCAGACTTCTTTTCATCCTAGTGAAGTCCGAAGTGTATGCCTTTCTGATTTGAAAAGGAAAATGACCATTCTGTTACTTCTTTCCCAAAAGTTCTGTTTTGAAGTCAATTCGTACATTTCAAGGAAAAAGAGCTCTGAAGGGTGGGTCCAATGGTAAAAAGGAATCATAACAAAATGAGCTAATTCTATATGTTAGGTACTGTCCTGAGCACTTTGTGGGTGTTAATCGTCTGATCATCACAGAGATAACAACTGGGAGAGTTGGGATTAAATCCAGGCATTCTGGCTCTAGCATTCAAATGTTTAACTATTATGCTAGAATAAATGTTTCGGTTGATGGGAAGATATAGTGCCTATGGTAATTTATGCAATGACCTTGTTTGGGGCCAGTTAGACATGAGGACGATGGGAAGCTATGGGCAGCGGTGATGCTGATTCTCTGCTCCAGCTTCCCTTCCCAGTAGTTTCAGATCACACGGCACTTTAGTAGCTTGTGTGGGGGTGGATGGAAGTGGACGGTGAACACCCTGAAGGCAGGGCTTGTGTTCATTCCTCTTTGTGTCTCCAGGGTGCCTTACCTAACTGGAGAGAGCGGAAGGAATGTTTGCCAAATTAGTGTGTGAGTAAGGAATTCGTAAGAGCTCGATTTACTGCAATTAAACAAGCACCTACTGTACATCAATTAACAACTATGCTTCTTTGCTGTGGGTTATAAAGACAGAAGTAAATCAAGTAGATTTGCCCTCAGAGCTCACAGCCAGAGGCAGACATGTGATATGGTTAAAATATAAGCACATATATGTTAGAATAATGAGTACCTTATTTAAGGAAGGGCAAATAGTGGCTAAAATGACCAACTCTAAAAGTGTAATATTCTGATACCGTGCCCGGAAGTGAGGATTCAAAGATAAAAAGACATATTCTAAAGAAGTCCCAGGGCAACTTACAGGACAGGCCTGGAACACAGGTAGGATTTGATAATTGCGGCGACGTGTGAGGGTGGGACGTGAGCCTAGGAGAATAACCCTGTCTTCTGCTTGGCTGGGACTGGTGGAGCTTCAGAGAGGAGGCTTTGGAGAGGAGGCTGATGCTAGAACAGACATGGGTGGGGGACACCCGAGGAGTGGGGAAACCTTTTCAAGACTGTGCTTACTTTATGTAATACCAAGAATATAATTTTATAAATGCCCTACAGCCTGGCTTTAAAGCATTAGTTGTAGATTACTAGTGCCTATTCTCATAATTTTTTTTTCTAATTCAACACTATTGTTTATCTCATCTTACACCTCAGACGTGGTCTACTTGTTTCTTTGGTTGAATGACCAATTTTTCCTTTGACTTCTTTGTCTCTTTCTATTGTTTTAAAAGATTTATTTATTTATTATTTATTTATTTTTATAATTGCTCATGTATTTGCCTTTATTGAGATCTTTATTTCTCCATATGGTTTCAAGGCACATATTTTTTTTTAACATGCCAAGATTAGGATTTTTTAAAAAAATATAATTTATTGTCAAGTTAGCTAACATACAGTATATACAGTGTGTTCTTGGCTTCGGGAATAGATTCCTATGATTCATCACTTACAACACCCAGTGCTCATCCCAACAAGTTGCCAACTCAGTGCCCATCGCCCATTTCCACTCCCTGCCCTCACCATCAACCCTCAGTTTATTCTCTTATGGTTTGCCAAGATTTTTATTTTTAAGTAATCTCTACACCCAATGTGGGGCTCGAACTCACAGCTCTGAGATCAAGAGTCACATGCTCTACTGACTGAACCAGCCAGGTGCCCCTCCATTCTCTTTTTCTTAACCAGCCCCTTTCTTCTTAATTTATTATTATTTTTTAATTTTAATTTTTTTATTTGAGAGAGAGAGAGAGAGAGAGAATGTGAGCAGGGGAGAGGGGCAGAGGGGGAGAGAGAGAATCCCAAGCAGACTCCATGCTCAGTGTGGAGCCTGATGAGGGGCTCGATCCCATGATCCTGGGATCATGACTGGAGCCAAAATCAAGAGTCAGACACTCAACTGACTGAAGCACTCAGGAGACCCCTGCCTTTCTCCTTTAAATTACTCACCCACTCTCACTGAATTCAGCTCTTGTCTCTATAAAATCAGGATGAAAATACTGACTTTCCTACAGCTCTGGTTAGAGTTGGGGACAGAGGTGATGAGCCTTGGAGATAAGAGATAGAGGGGACCAGTAACTGGTATCTCCAAGATAAAGACTGGAGGGCATGGGTGGTGGTGGTGGTGGTGGGGGGGGGGTGGCAGTACATGAGTGATTTTGATCAGGGTTGTGTCCAGGGGATCAGAGCCTGGAATCCTGGGTTCATGCTGGTGCTAACAGGTCAGAGAGCGAATGCCTTGGAACCAGGTGAGCCATTAGAAGTCTGGCAGGCAGAGCCTAGCAGGCAGAGGAAGGCAGTATTTAGCAAAGGGCCAGCTGTTGAGATGTCAAGCTGAGGCAAGAGAAGACTGAGAAGGACCCGAGAGCCCAGAACTTGTAAGAGGACTAGTATGAAGATTCCATGGCCAGATTCCATAAGACTCTCAGAATGGGCCTAAGGAAGAGGGAAAAGAAGACTAATTCAAGGTCTTAAATATTCATACAGAGCTTAGCATAGGCCTTTGTGAAGCCACAGGGTAGGAAAGCAAGGAAAACCAGGTGCAAATGTTAGGGCTCAGTAAAGCTGCTGTCTGTAGTTCTAGGGAGGTAATGGAGGCATTGCAAATATTCTAGTTGTGCATGGTTTATACACAGTTGTTCTTTTTTTTTTTTAATGTAGTGACAACATTTGAATGTTTATTTAGTAGGCTAACTGTACTATTTAGTGCAGGACAGTTTCTCAATCCTAAGATGTGGTTTTTGCAGAAGAAATAGCGTCATTTAATATATGTATAATATATAACACATGTAAAATGGTATATGTGTGTGTATGTATATATATATGTATATATATCTATATAGTTGTAGTAGGAGTAGTGAGAAGTATTGAGAGCAAGAATATATTGTGACAGGTGTAGTGATCCTTCAGCTTTGGGGCTTTGCTGAATGGGGCAGGGAGCCCCCCAGGTAGCAATGTTTCTTCAAGTGTTAAGTGTTTCCATTGGTGTCCTGGATATTTCCAACTGGTCTTGCCAAGTGATTTGTGTACAGTCAAGCTCATCTTGGTGCTAATTCTCACTGCATATGCAACTGGCTTCCCAGTTGTGTGTAATTTAATGATCCCTTTAGAATTGTAGAGGCTCAAAATTTTCGTCTGGTAAAATTGAGAAGAATTGGTTGTACCTTTACCTTGAAGCATGAGATAGAAAATAATGAAATATTTTTTTTGTCTTTAATGAATTAATTTAGATTTTAATGACAACTGTACTAAATCTTAGAATGACCAAGAATAAATCACACGCTTCATTTTTTGGTGCGATTTTTTTTTTTTTTTTTTACATAAAATTGTACGATAGTGTAAGATATGTGAGGTTCTCAGGACAACTCATAATGAAAATCATTTTGGAAAATCGATCTGAGGGCTTAATGAAAGAGGTATTTCTTAAAAGTTTGGTATTTAAGTCATCCCTTTTGAAATTCTTAGGAATTACTTACTAATCTCTTTTTCTGTAGTGGTTTTATGTTCCTGGGCTCTGGAAGTGTTTCTACAGAGTAGTTTTGCATTTCTTCTGCTGGGGCCCCAGTGGTTTCGCTATTCCAGACTAGCTGTTATATTAATTTCTTGGGTTAGACACTGCCCCTCCCCCACCCCCCATCTCGTGTGTAGTTTAAACTCAGACCCCTCTTTTAGGTGTGGTGCAGACATAGGATTTCGTTTGCTCTAGGGCAGGGATCAGCCAACTATGCCCAAGGGCCAAACCCTCCATGCATCTTTGCTTATGGATTGTCTATGGCTGCCTCTGCACATGGTGATAGGTGAGTGGTTGTGAAAGGGACCTATGCCCCACAAAGCTGAAAATAGTTACTGTCTGGCCCTTTACAGAGGAGGTGCGGGATCCTGATTCAGGGGGCCTGGTTCATCCGTTCATGACTCTGGGCAGATGGCAAGCCCCCATGCTGCTTTCCCTACCTTGTGGACAGAATTATTGCTTGGGCCGGGCTGCATTTCAAGGGCTGTGGCTTTCTACAGCGATCTGTTGAGAGTGTTAGGACCCCACCGCTTCTCTACCCACATTGAGATAAAACCCTACTTCCTGTCCCCCAGGCCCCTATCTGACCCAAGCCAATGGAGCCTGACTTCGTGCCAGGTCCTGTGATTGCCCTGGCTTTCAAGACCCTCTTTGTTATGGCTTCTGGGCATTTATCTTTCAAGCTCAGGGGAGGACTAAATTTTCTGTTATGCTTTTTCCTATATTATGTGTGCTCGTAGAGAATGGGGAACTCTTCTGTCTTGTTGCTAAATAGGACTTTTTAAAATCAATAATATTATAATAACTTATGGTGACAGCCGGTGGCCCACACCTATGTGGTGAGTGCTGGTTCAATCAACATGTTGTACATCTGAAACTAAAGAATGTGTACTCTAAAAAAATTAAAGGAAAGAGGACTTTTCCAATGAGAATTCACTGTTTACAATCAGACTTTATTCTATTTCAGAACGACTTGCAGAAGTTCATGGATGTTACATTTGAAAAGATTCAGAACACAAATCAAGCTCTAAGTATGTTAAAGAAATTTGAAAGGTAAAAATTTGAAACAGATTCTATTCTGTCTTCTAAAACTGGGGCCATATGAACACAGTTTAGCTTATTTTGTTATTATTAATTAAAATCCTTTCTCGACAATCTGCATAACAAGGTCAGAGTTTTTAAGTTCTTCAGATGTTAAGAGTTTGTTTTATTTCCTGTTAGCTTTGAACTACCATGTGATTGTCTATCATAATATTACTTAATGTTTAAGTAATTAAAAAAAATTCTTACCAGGCTAATGGTTTTGCTTAGATTTTAAGGATTTATACTATTTTTTTTTTTTTTTAAGTAAACTCTATGCCCAATGTAGGGCTTGAACTCGTGACCCTGAGATCAAGAGTCACATGCTCTACTGAGCCAGCCAGGCATCCCAATACTATTATTTAAAGCCACTTTATTGAGATAATGGATGGATTGATACTATTCTGATTTTTTAAATATGCCAACCAAATATCTCATTTTTTTCCATTACTGTATGTTTTTTAAAAAAAATGTTTATTTATTTATTTTGAGAGAGAGAGAGAGAGAGAAAAAAAAAAGAGTGAGTGGGGGAGGGGCAGAGAGAGAGGGAGATAGAGAATCCCAAGCAGGCTCTGCAGTATCATTACAGAGCCTGATGTGGGGCTCGATCCCATGACCCTGGGATCATGGCCTGAGCTAAAATCAAGAGTCAGATGCTCAACGGACTGAGTCAGCTAGGGACCCCTCCATTGCCATAGGTTTTAAAATGAACCTTTTTTTTTTTTAAAGTTTATTTATTTATTTTGAGGGAGAGAGACAGAGAGAGTGTGCAAGTGGGGGAGGGGCCGAGAGAGCAAGAATCCCAAGCAGGCTCTGCACTGTCAATGCAGAGCCTGATGTGGGGGGTCAAACTCATGAACCATGAGATCATGACCTGAGCTGAGATCCAGAGACGCTCAACTGACTGAGCCACCCAGGTGCCCCTAAAATAAATCTTAATAAAGGAGATTGCTAGGTATCTTCCCATTCATCCAAACCATTCACTTTTTGTTTTTTTTCAGGTTGAATATACCTAATCTTGGTATTGATGACAAATACCGGCGTATTCTTGAAAACTATGGGGCTGACGTCGATATGATCTCCAAGCTGTATATGAAGCAGAAATGCGATCCTCCTTTGGGTCGAGATCAGCCTCCCATTGCTGGGAAGATTTTGTGGGCCCGACAGCTCTTCCAGAGGATTCAGCAACCAATGCAGCTTTTTCAGGAGCACCCGGCTGTGCTACAGACAGCTGAAGCCAAGCCTGTGATTCGCAGTTACAACAGGGTGGCCAAAGTCCTCCTGGAGTTTGAAGTTCTCTACCACAGGGCATGGCTTCAACAGGTGAGTCTCTACATGTGTGCCCTTCAAAGACATCTTCATTGCCAGGTCAAGAGGAAACCCTCTGCTAGCATGTTATTCCTGTAGAACGTTGGATTTGTGGGTATTTCCTAAGACAGGTTTGGTTGAATGTGGGTAATCAGTCAAAGAGTATAATATGTCCATGAAGAAAAATAATGATTGATTTTGAAAAAAATTATAAGGCAGGTAACAGAAACTCATTTTTATTTAATTTACAAACTCCTAAGAGAGAAAGAAGATCCTGTTTATTGGTTCTTTTACCTAGTCGATTGGGATTTCTGACTTTTTTCTAATCCATTAACTTCCTTGATGTGTCGCTAAACATTAGTATGTCTCTGTAAAGCGAAATCTTAGATTTTCTTTGGTTATCCTAGGTTCATCAAATTGTATTTCATACCCTACCCACTCTTGTATGTCTTTGTAGATTGACGGGAAGTATCTCAGAGGATGAAATTCAGCCTTACAGGCCCCCTAAAATGCCATCCCATTTTCCTGGTTTAGCTCTGGGTGCCTGAGCCAATAACAGAGAGGTCTCCATGGTGGTATTCATAGTTTCTCTAGATAACTAAAACCGAATTTAGTGGGTTGAATAAAACTTTTATTAGGAAGAATAATGAGTTGGGCACGATGGTATCAGGGAGCTAAACGGGTTTTGAGAAGCCTCTGCAGTGTTCACTTACCTGTTGGGTGTGAGAGGGTCATGACCCAGGCATTTTATCAGACTGACTGCATAGCATCACTACCAAGAGCTCGAAGGCACTTTTCTGAAAGTGACCTTGGAAGAAGAGTGTCGTCTTTAGTTTGAGAAGCTCAAATCCAAGGAAGAACACTTACTGGTCATCATTCCCAGAAATGACTGAGCTAGACCCCCTGTGGAAGCGCTGAACTTTCTAATAGTAAAAATGTTGATCTCTTGACACAGATTGAAGAAATTCACATAGGACTTGAGGCATCTTTATTGGTGAAGGCTCCAGGCACGGGGGAATTGTTTGTAAACTTTGACCCACAGATATTAACCTTATTTAGAGAGACAGAGTGCATGTCACAGATGGGTCTGGAAGTGTCACCATTGGCGGCTGCCCTGTTCCGGAAACGGGATGTATACAAAAAGAACTTCAGTAACATGAAGGTATGGTACTTTAATTTTTTCCTCTTTCTGGCTAGGCCCAGTTTGCATGAAAAAAAAAAAAATCTGGTGGTATGTCACTATTGAGGGATAGCAAGTGCTCAGGATGACTGAGGTGGAGATTGAGAGGGAATGTGACTATAGGGAAGGTGGAGGCCAGCTCATCACCGATCATGTAAACCCAGGTTATAAGTTTGAATGCACCAGGAAGACATTGCAAGAATTCAAGTGGGAGCAAAAGGCATGATAGTTTTTACGATAAAACTATTGTAAAAACTAACTACAGGAGGAAATCAATAATGTCCATCTGAAGTAGAAGATGATTTTGAGAGATCTAAGTGGAAATATTATCCATGCAGATAGATAGGTAAGTCTGGAGTAGAGTGGAGGAGTCAAAGTGGAAGGCATAGTTTTGAGAGTTTTATTTTTATTAAATTTATTTTTAAATTTTTTTTTTCTTTTTGAGAATTTTAAGAATATAGTTGGCATTTAGGGGCACCTGGCTGGCTCAGTGGGAAGAGCACGCAACTCTTGATCTTGGGGTCATGAGTTCAAGCCCCACATTTGGTGTAGAGATGAATAAAAAAAATAGATAAACTTAAAATATAGTTGGTATTTAATGTTATTGTCTTGGATGAGATCTCCAAGGAAGAGAATGTAGATAAAGTGGAGTAGAAGGCTACGGGTTGCCCCAATGTTAATGGGTCTGACAGAAGAGGACAAGTGTGCAACATGAGTAACTGGTAAGAGCAGATATTTTGGTAGGTTGGAGGACCATCTCAGATGTTGCAGAGTTATTGTGCTGAATATTTAACAGAGCTCCCAGGTTCCCACAGTTATGCTGAGAACTTGTTTTCTTCATCTGTTCCTTGGAGTGTAGTTCAAACAGGAAAGAAATGAGCCCACATAGACTAATAGTTATGAGAATGGATTCTAAAACCAGTTTGATCTGGATACAAATCATTATCTTTGGGCAAATTGTTTTACCCTTTGAAGCCTCAGTTTGTTATCATAAAATGAATAATATCTCATGGGGTTAAAGGATTAAGGTGAGAGGTAGAAGGTCTGCTGATTTGCTTTCCAGGTAGAATAAGTGATGGGCATTGAAAATAGATAAGCCGTGGATAATTGATTGAGGAAATGTATAAGTAGCTGCTAATAGAACCATCCAACATAGGCTTTTTCAAAGTGGTTTTCATGGAAATTGAAAGGATATAGAGAAATTGCAGAAAAGTATTGTATGAAGAAAGGATTATGTGGTCCATTTGGGAAATGTTGGGTTTAACAAAATTCACAAAGTCCGTTGGCTTTCTTCTTTCTTGTGGTTTTTGCAGAATTATTAATTTTAATTGTGACTTTCCAAGAAGGGGGATCATGTATACAGTGGTTTCCAAGCTTATTCATCCAGGGACCACTTTTCCTTATAGAATCTCTTAGGGCTAGTAGTTCAGGGAAAACATTTGGGTAAACGTTGATCTAATGACAAACTAATATCAACATGCACATTACAAATATGAGCTTAAAAACAATTGTATTTAAGAAGTACGTTAAATTTACTTTCTTATAATTAATTATTATTAATACTAACATTATGAAAAAAGGTAGGCTGCAAGTACTTTTAGTCTTATTTAAAATGGTAACGTATGGGGCACCTGGGTGGCTTACTCAGTTAAGTGTCCGACTTCGGCTCAGGTCATGATCTTACGGACTGGTCCGTGAGTTCAAGCCACACATTGGCGTCTGTGCTGACAGCTCAGAGCCTGGAGCCTGCCTCAAGTTCTGTGTCTCCCTCTCTCTCTGTCCCTCCCCTGCACTTTCTCTCTCTCTCTCTCTCTCTCTCTCTCTCTCTCTCAAAAATAAAAGATAAACATTAAAAAAATTTATCAAATGGTAATATATGAACAGAATACCGACACAGTTCAATATTATACAACAGGTAAATTTCATTGTAGGACAGAACCCATGAGTTTGTAATCACAAGCACACCTTCTGATAACAACTAATTAATAAATTAGGGAAATATTGATGGATCACCTCCTATATGCACCTCTTTCAGGGCATTGGACAAAGCAGACAAAATTCTTGAAGAGAATTTTCGTGTCATCCTTGCGCAGGGGCCATGCTAATCTTCTCTGTATCGTTCCAATTTTAGTATATGTGCTGCCGAAGCGAGCACTTGAAGAGAATTTTCTATAGAAACTCTTGTCCTTATATTCTAGTTGGGTAAGACTGAAAATAAGCAATGAACATTCTAAATAGATAAATTACATAGTTTATTAGAACGTGATAGGCACTATGGGAAAAAATGGAGCAGGACACAGGATAAAATGTTTGGGTGGTTTTTGGTGATGGTTTACAATATGAAGTAGGTATTCAGGACAGGCTGAATTGAGAAGATGGCATTCGAGTAATTATTTGAAGGGGATACAAAGGACCTGAGGCTAGGGACCAGCAAGGATGACAGTAGGGCAAGAGTAGGTAAGGGATGAGAAGAATGATTAGAGATGAGATCAAAGAAGTAATGGGGACCAGATTGGGTAGATCTTTGTAGACCAACATAAGAGCTTGTGTCCCTGAATGAGATGGGAAGGCATGTGGCTATGTAAGCAGAGGTATTACCCAGGCTGATTTACATTTTGAAAGGGTCATTCTTGCGGCTAAATTGAGCACAGACTGTACGGGGCATTAGTGGAAGCAGGGAGACAACTGTAGACCGTTACAGTAATTTAGAGGAGAGTCAGCGATAGTGGTAGCACTGCATATGGTAAACAGGTCAGATATAGGATCTCTTGAATATGGAACAAACAAGGTATCCTGATGGATTGCCTGTGGGCGGGAGAGACAGACAGAAGCCACCGTCAGCTGAGATGGAGAATGCTGTGGGCAGAGAAGGTTTTGGGGAAGAACAAACTTTCAGTTTTGGACATGTTAAATTGAAATGTCTTTTATATATTCAATTGGAGATATTGAATAGGCTTAGGCCTTGTTTGATTCTGGATTTGAGGAGCGAGATCTGGGCTGAGATGTGAATTTAGTTGTCTTTGGCATACAGATGATACCTAAAGCCATGACATTTGTTGGCATCAACGCTGGTTCCTGACTCCTTATATGCTTTGGGTCTTACATCAAGACTTGACGTGGGGCTCCTGGGTGGCTTAGTTGGTTACGTGTCTGAATCTTGGTTTCAGCCCAGGTCACAGTCTCGTGGTTTTGTGAGTTCAAGCCCTGCATCAGGTGCTGCGCTGAGTGTGGAGCCTGCTTGGGATTCTCTCTCTCCCTACTTCTCTGCCCTCCTCCTCTCACACTGTCTCTGTCTCTCTCAAAAATATATAGATAACTTAAAAAAAAAAAAAAAAAGATTTGGCTTACAATTCCAGCAATGGGCTGAGGCAGATTTCTTTTTTCTTTTTTTCTTTTTTAGAATTTACATCCAAGTTAGTTAGCATATAGCGCAATAATGATTTCAGTAGTAGAAGCCAGTGATTCATCCCCTACATATAACTCCAAGTGCTCATTCCAACAAGTGTCTTCTTAATGCCCCTTAACTTACCCATTTAGCCCATCCCCCCTACCCACAACCCCTCCAGCAACCCTCAGTTTGTTCTCTATATTTAGGAGTCTCTTATGGTTTGTCCCCTTCCCTGTTTTTATATTATTTTTGCCTCCCTTCCCTTATGTTGATCTGTTTTGTATCTTAAATTTCACATGAGGGAAGTCGTATGATATTTGTCTTTCTCTGATTGACTAATTTCGCTTAGCATAATATATTCTAGTTCCATCCATGTTGTTGCAAATGGCAAGATTTCACTCTTTTTGGTTGCCAAGTAATATTCCATTGTATATATATACCACATCTTCTTTATCCATTCATCTGTCGACGGACATTTGGGTTCTTTCCATACTTCCACTATTGTCGATAATGCTGCTATAAACATTGGGGTGCCTCTGCACCTTCGAAACAGCACACTTGTATCCTTTGGATAAATATCTAGTAGTGCAACTGCTGGGTCGTAGGGTAGTTCTATTTTTAACTTTTTGAGGAACCTTCATACTGTTTGCCAGAGTGGCTGTACCAGTTTGCATTCCCCCCAGCAGTGCAAAAGAGATCCTCTTTCCACATCCTCATCGACATCTATTGTTACCTGAGTTGTTAATTAAGCCATTCTGATTGGTGTGAGGTGGTATCTCATTGTGGTTTTGATTTGTATTTCCCTGATGATGAGTGATGTTGAGCATTTTTTCATGTGTCTGTTAGCCATCTGGATGCCTTCTTTGGAAAAGTGTCTCTTCATGTCTTTTGCCCATTTCTTCACTGGATTATTTGTTTTTTGGGTGTTGAGTTTGATAAGTTCTTTATAGCTTTTGGATACTAACTCTTTATCTGATATGTCATTTGCAAATATCTTTTCCCATCCTGTTGTTTGCCTTTTAGTTTTGCTGATTGTTTCCTTCACTGTGCAGAAACTTTTTATTTTGATGAGGTCCCAATAGTTCATTTTTGCTTTTGTTTCCTTTGGGCTGAGGCAGATTTCTGGTGACCCCAGCATTTTGGGTGATGTGTATGGTCCACAGGAATTGCCCAGAGGAGCAGGAAGTGGGTGGTGCCAGCATACAAAGTTGAATGAATGAGCTTAGTGATGCACAGACTAAGTCATTGGTAACCTGGTCTAGAAAGTCACTTGACCTTAGAACTTTTCTCCCCTTTTTGGACAGGGGAAGGGGTGAGAAACTCCTACTCTTAATTTCTCTCAGCTGTATTTTATTGGATTAGGAATTTGTATTTAGGGAGAGATTTTGCCTCTCCCATTCTTGTGTTGTTTTGGCCACTCTACCTGCCGGGCTACTGTTGGAGCCCTACAGCTGGACTTTAACTAAAAGCCATCCTTTTGGATAAGAAAAAAAATGAGATAGTAGAAGTGTGGTATTCATTGATCATTTAACCTCCATTTCATTGCAGATGATGCTGGCCGAATACCAGAGAGTGAAGTCAAAAATGCCTCCCACCATAGAGCAACTGATGGTCCCTCATTTGGCTAAAGTGGACGAAGCTCTCCAGCCTGGCTTGGCTGCACTGACCTGGACATCACTGAACATTGAGACGTACTTAAAAAACACTTTTGCGAAGATCAGTAAGTCTGTCTGAATAGTTATTATTTCTCATTTTTGAAAGGCTGCGTTCTTAACGCCTATGGTATAATTTCTTCTAGATACTGGGATATAAATAATGAAATGAGACCGTTATTCTTAAGCTGTTCCTTAGGGAATTTTACCAAAATACACGAACTCATTAATTTCCTGGAAACTATACGTATTAACTATTTAATTTTATCTCCCAGAGGTTAACTGCATTTAAAAATCATACTTACTATTGGACATTCGACTTTCAATAAGATGGTCAATTTAAAGTTAGAAAACTGTGATCCAGAGATGCTGGGTGACTGCTAATGTGATATAGATGTAAGCAGTAAGGGTGAGTTTAGAACCCGGTTTCCTTGCCTCCAAAACAATATTCTTTCCAAAATACAGCTCCCTGGGAACTAAAACAGGAGGAAATAGGCTAACATTCTAGAAGGAGATATTTAATAAAAGGTATAAAAACTTCATAATAAGAGTTATCACAACCAAGTTAGAACATGCTCTACCAAGCTATACGTTAGTACTTTTCTCCCTAGAGAATATTAGGATTAGAATGTTTGCATTTGGATGTCTTATTATTATGTTACCTGGGACAGGAGCTAGCTTCTAAAGAAGCTCTCCTTAGTTCTCGTATTCTGTTTTCTTTTTGCAATTTACATGAAGGATCTGAGATGGATGTCAGAAGTCCAAGATGACTCTTAGGGAGTTAAAAATCAAGGTATCAGCACAGATAGTTCCTTCTGGAGGCTTTGGGGGAGAGAATCCTTTCCTGTTTCCAGAGGTCACCTACATCCTTTGGCTCATGGTCACTCCATCTTCAAAGCCAGTAACATAGTATTCTTAAATCTCCTTCTCTCTGTTTCTGTTTCCATGGACTTTGACTCTCCTTCTTTCCTCTTATAAGGACTCTTATGGCTACACTGCTCCCACCTAGTGTAGATAATTCCCACCTAGATAATTTAGGACAGTTTCTACATCTCAAGATACTTGATCACATCTGCAAAGTCCCCTTTGCCATATCAGGTAGCATTTGAAGGGGATTAGGATGTGGACATCTTGGGGGATGGGGTGGGTCACAGATGTCCTCGAAGAAGCTTTATAGAATCAGAAACAGTAAAGAATTTTATTGAGCATTCATGCTTACCTAAAAGTGTTGGCTCTCTTCTAGTTGGAAATAAGCTTACCAGGCAATACTTTTTGGTATCTTGATATTAACTTAGAAATGGTTGAAAACTTTTAAGGCCTTATTCTATAGGAAGTAAAGGTATTTATTTAAGGGAACATTTTACATCTTTGATACATCATGAGTATATAATATGGACTTTCCTGTATTCAATTTTAACTTCATTTCCTAGATGAAAACCGAATCAGAAGAAAAGAGAATTTACTCTGTGGCATCTGTTGAAAACCATATTATCCCTTAGATAGAGCTTTATTAACCATCATTCCTACTTTTGATGTAAAAGTGTTAATTTCCTCTGGAATTGACCTTTCTGTCAATTGAACTTAGTGTTCAATATTACTTCAGCGCAACTTTAAAAAAATGTACCTTATGAAACTAACAGTAAAAGAAAAACCGAGGGGATTGTTTCACTTCAGTAATATCTGTTGGGGCACCTGGCTGGCTCAGTTGGTGGAGCATGTGACTCTTGATCTCGGGGCTGTGAGTTCAAGCTCCATGTTGGGTGTAGAGATTACTTAAAAACAAAATCTTAACAGAGAATTATCTGTTGAATACCTCCTGAAGAATAGGTACAGAGCTGTGTTGAACAAGCAAGGATGACAAAGAGGAATTCTAGAAGAAGAAAAGACACATGAGTAGATGAGTAGGCAATATGGCGCACGTAGAGCTAGAAGGATGCTCAGGGGTCAGTGCCAGCGCAGGAGGAGGGGGCAATTTGAATATGTGCAGAGTCACAGGAAGCCTCCTGAGGGAGATGCATTCGAGCCAGTCCTTGAAGTCTTGAGTCAGAGAGAGGCAGGTTGAGAGAGCCAGAGCCAGGAAACCAGTTAGAGGAAGGACAGTGTGAGAAAACCAAGCGAGACACAGTGGTCCCCAGGGACCATAATCCTGATTTCACCACTGCAGTTTGGCCGTGTACATTTTTATTTTATTTTTATTTTTATTTTTTTTTGAAAAAAGAAAAGTGCTTCATCCCTTGTATTCACTTTTATTTTTTCCAAAGAGGACCTGGAATTGCTGCTTGCCAGAGTCAACGATCTGATGGAGTTTCGCATTGATGCCATTCTGGAAGAAATGAGCAGCACGCCGCTTTGCCGGCTTCCCCAGGAGGAGCCACTTACCTGCGCCGAGTTCCTCCAGATGACAAAGGTTATTAGGAGATTGATGTTTTTATTAAAAATTTTTAAATAAAGGGCATGTTTCGAAGCATAAGTTACACATTTTTCTTCTGTCTGTAATTGCTCTGCGATAGGTGTGATCAAACGTAGAGCTTTCTGGCAGTAATTTGAAAATGAAGAGGAACGTATCTAAGGAGTCACTTAGACATGAAGAGCAGATCATTTCTTTTCAGACCAGTAGGAGGGGAAATTGCCATGGGACGCGTTTCTCGTTTTTTCCATATTTTTTGAAAAATAGAGCTATTTTGTTGAAGAGCTTCTAGTATGCTAGTGCTAATTAATTAGGCGATTGTTTTAAATATCTTCAGGGCAGAATTTCTTCCTTAAACATTTCTGTGGAGCACTGCTTCCCAAACAGGTGTCCAATGGTACACAGTTCCAGAGTCACTGCCAGGAAACCGGGAAAGCTGGGTCTGGGTGCAGATTGCTCAGGGTAAGGACCGTTCCCCCAGTTACCCTGGCAGCTTCTTCACTCATTAACATATTCAAATAACAGCTTTCAGAAGGTCTCCTGGGAGAGCCTTTGTAACTTGCTTTGACCCATTATTTCTTACACTTTTTTTTTTTTTCCAAATGGAACACTTTCTTCCTTATACCAGGATTAAGATCCTACAAACAGTGTTCCATGAATTGGCCCTTTGGAAATGAGACTTTGGCATCACTGCAGTGTTCTCTATGGGCATCCTGATTATAAGAATTCATCAGTGATGATTTTGATATGGTATGTCAGGAGTCCTCAAGACCACCTCCACTAGAAGGATGATTTATAAGAATGGCCGATTAAGGGATGTCTGAACGGCTCAGTTGGTTGAGTGTCAGACTTCGGCTCGGGTCACGATCTCACAGTTCATGGGTTTGAGCCCTCCATCGGGCTCGCTGCTGTCAGCACGGAGCACACTTCAGATCCTCTGTCCCCTGCTCTCTCTCTCTGCCCCTCCCCCCTCTCTCTCTGTCTCTCTCAAAATAAATAAACTTAAAAAAACAAAAAAGAATGGAAGATTGGTAAGAAAGACTCCTGGGAGTCAGCACCTACTTGCACTAAAGACTGAGACTTACTAGAGCGATATAGTAAAGACACCCAGGCCATAGGGAAACGAGGTGGTGGGGGGTTGGAGGAATGCATGTGTGCGTTCCTTATGCTCTCTCACTCTCATGAGGGGCCACACAGAGCTTACTCTCTCTCTAGCAACAAAAATGCAGCAACCTGTTTGCAACATTTCTGCTCAGGGAAGTCCATGAGAAACTCAGTGCCCAAGCTTTTTATTGGGTGTGGTCACATAGGCACCGTCTGCCCTAGCATGGACCAAAATCCCAGGTATCCAGAAGGAAAACAGGTATGCAGCATAAACCACACTGTTTGCACAGGCCGTGTAGGCACGGTGAGCCAGTCTTACCAGCTGGGGAGCCGTGGGAACCTTCCCCAAATCCAGGCCCCCAGACACCAGCCAAAGACCAATGTCCCAAGCAGAATAGTAGTCTCAGTCCCGTCCCGGTAACACATGTTACCTTTTCTGCATATGTGGTAATCTTCAGTTTACATTAAATTACTGATAACCAAAGTTAAATGTCAGCATTTTAGAAATTCCTATTTCTTCCTTCTCCCAGACTCACCAGCTGTGTCTAGACCCCAAACTCCCCCTGCCCGCGCCCCCCTGCTCATTTGTCATGCTCTTGCCCTCTGAGAAATCACTTAGCTTCATGGTTTTAATGTTACCCCTATTATCAGGATTATTCTATAAAAATACATTTCTTTTAAATTTAAGCACAAGCTTTTAAAAATGGGAAAAATACTTTTTTTTTTTTTTATCATTTAGACTGTACTTGTTACAGTTTGGGTATACGGACTGTTTTATATGCCTCTCAGTAAAGTTGTGATCCCCTGCTACACGTGCAGCAGATTTTGATTTGTTTTTTATTATCTATTTATTTATTTTTTAAACATTGATTTAGAGAGAGCACACAAGCAGGGGAGAGGCAGAAAGAGAATCCCAAGCAGACTCCACATTGTTAGTGCAGAGCCTGACACAGGGCTCGAACTTGCAAAGTGTGATTCATTATCTGAGCTGAAATCAAGGGTCAGACACTTACCCAACTGAGCTACCCAGGTGCCTCATATTTTGATTAAAAAAAATAGTTTTTTAAAGTAATCTTTATACCCAACATGGGGCTCGAACTCACAACCCTGAGATCAAGAGTCGCACGTTCCAATGACTGAGCCAGCCAGGTGCCCCTACAGCAGATTTTGAATAGTGTTTTTCTCTCCCACTTAACATTTTTTCAAGAACTATTTTTCATGTTGCTATGTGGCTTTTATAGCCACCTTTTTAATGATGCCTTCAGAATATTCTATTGAGTTCATGTACCTTAATTTACTTACTCATTCCCTGTTGCTGGACATTTGGGTGGTTTCCAAAGTTTTGCTATTTTGCCAAGAGCTGCAATGAATATATTTATGTGTATCATGTTTTCCCCTTTAGGACTGTTTCTTTCTTCAAAGCAAAATTATTGCATCAAAGAATGTGGCTTCATTTAATAGCTCTTAATATTTGTAGCCAACTTGCTTTTCAAAAGGATGGCATCAGCTTCCAATGCCATCGGCAACGTAATGGTACCAATTTCACTATCTTTCAACAGATACTGTTTTATAATAATAGTAATAAATTATAACAGATTTTATTATAAGTTATATAATAAAACAACACATTTATTATAAATAAAATATAATAAATTTATTGAAATAAATACTTTGAAATTATTATAACTTATTCATTTCAGTTTAAGTAGCAGAATCATAGAACCTAATCTTAATTTGCATTTTGCTTACCAAAATGAGTGATTACCAATTAAGTGAATGCTTTCTCTTGAATTTGTTTGCTTTTTTAAAAAAGTTTATTTATTTTGAGACAGAGTGAGAGAGAGAGAACGCGTGCATGCTCACGAGTGAGGGAGGGACAGAGAGACAGGGAGAGAGAGAATCCCAAGCAGGCTCCATGCTGTCAGCACAGAGCCCAACACACGGCTCGATTCCAAAAACTGTAAGATCATGACCTGAGCCGAAACCAAGAGTCGGAGGCTTAACCAGCTGAACCACCCAGACGCCCCAGAATTTATTTACTTGGGGATACAGCAATGAGCAAGACAGATGAAATCCCTGCCTTCACGGAGCCCGTTTTCAAGTTCAGGATTCAGAAGAGCAAGTAAACAAAAAAGCCAGTAACCCAACAAGTTAGGAGGTGATAAGCTCAGTGGAAAAAAACTAAGAGGGTAATGAAGAAAAGGAGTATCTGATAGACAGTTGTGATTTATGTTGATGGGCAGGGATGACTTCTGCTATTACATTTGAGCAGAGGAAATGAGGGAGAAAGCCTTGGGAGTAACTTTGGGGAAGCGAATTCCAGGCAGAGGGAACAAGAAGTGCCCTGAGGCAGAAACTTGTTATGGTAGCTGGAGGAAGATGTTGCGTTAAAGTTCACCGAGTATGTTCTTATGCTGAGGGGGAAGGGGAAAGGGAATGGCTAGTAAGTATGGTGTCTGGGAAGCAGGGGAGTCTGTGATTTAGAGCTCACGTTGTGTGATTATTCTTAAACAGAAGGGGACATACCCGCATTCACTGAAAAAGGATAAGGGGTTAATGATAGAGGTCAGTTTATCTTCTGGGTGAGGGCATGGGGTCAGGGATTTGGGTGAGTCCCCACCTCTTGGCCTTTATTTGCTTTGTGCTCTAAAAATCAAGGTCACTGGCTGAGTATATGGAAGAGGACAGTGTAAAGATTTGAGGATACAGCTATTATGGGGCCTGGTAGAAGAATGTGACTGTAGTCCTGTAGAATGATTCCGGGTAGCATTAGGGGCCTGACTGAATTTGGGGACCACATTCCCAGTGCCAAGTACGTGCGTTGCCTTGACTTGCCTGTGCAAGTGGAAAGGGTTGGTTACCTGGTTCATGTGGGTTGGGCTTCTCCGGGCTGGGGCAGTGGAAGGCTGAGGGAGTGATGGAGGTAAGGATATTGATGAAAGAATGGTTGAAGTGAGAAAGCATGTCATTAGGAAAGGGTGTGTACAGTGAAAGGATTTAGGATACAGACTCTAAAAAATATTAGTGCTCTCAGAAAATAAGGAGCTCATTTACATGGAATGAGATTAGCAAGTTTGGCAAATGTAGGTCCTGTGGTTATGTGTGCTTTGCTGACCAGTAATAAAAACAAACACTTCCTGAGTACTTACTTTGTGCCGGGCACTATTCTAGTATTTTACATACATTAGCTTATGGAATATTCCCAATAACATAAGGTAGGTTCTACGATAATCACCACTTAATTTTCAGATTGGGAGTCAAAGATTTCCCAGAACTAGGATCTGAACCCAGGAATTTTGGTGCTGCAGTCTCTACTTTTTACTAGATGGTACTAACTCTATCTCATCCCTTACCCAATCTCCGACCTGCCTCTTCTTCATAATTGTCTCAAGGCTAGGGATAGAGATGGGTAGTTGGGTGAAGTTGTGAGTTGGGAGTGAAGTTCTTATTTTATGCTTTATTTGATGATAAAGAAGTTTAATAGTTTATTTCAGGACACATCAGAATGTTCCTATGTAAATGGTATCAAAATGCCATGTGCCCTGCAGCAGCGGAGTGGAGGTGAAGGTCATTGGTGATGAGGAGGTAAATGAGCCGTGAAGCTGACGTTTGGAGTAGATGGTCCATGAGCACATTAGAAGAGTTTCAAGATTAGTAATGGTGGGCCTTGGAAAGGAACCAGAGACTGTGACCAACTAACAGGGTCTATTATTGCATGGACTTATTGTCCAACTAGGTGGTAAATTGCCGACTGTCTACATCATCTGTCTCTATCTATCTATCTATCTATCTATCTATCTATCTATCTATCTGTATCTATCACCCTACAGAACTGATCATAGTGCCCCAATCATTATTAGTTTATATTTGTTAAATCTCATTCTTGAGAAACATGGAATCTCACGAGAGGGGAGTGGAATATCTGAAATTAATTAGGGGCTGACTATGGCTTATTGTCAAAGGTGAGGAGAGAAAGAAGGCTGACTAGAGCAGATTGATGTGAAATAAAGGAAGCTTCATGGACAGAGAGGCTGATGATAAGCATTTGGAGGTATTTTCTTTACTGTTGGAGAAGTAAGTATAATTTTGGTCTACCTGAGCTGATCAAGTTGGCTTCTTATCTTTAATGCATTCTTTTACATACCTGCCAGGATTAATGTGAGGGGTGTGGCCCTGCATTATTGGAGGCCAAAATCCAATCTAGAGGCTAAATCTATGACATTACTACTGGTACTGATATGGTCTTAAGAGTTAGATAAACAGGGGTGCCTGGGTGGCTCAGTTGGTTTAGTGTCCAACTTCAGCTCAGATCATGATCTCATGGTCTGTGAGTTTGAGCCCCGTGTTGGGCTCTGTGCTGACAGCTCAGAGCCTGGAGCCTACTTTGGAGTCTGTCTCCCTCTCTCTCTGCTCCTCTCCTGCTCACACTCTGTCTCTCTTTCTCAAAAAACAAAAAATAAATAAACATTAGAAAAAAAAGAACTAGATAAACAAATATGACACTGTTTTTCTTCTTCTTCTTTTTTTTTTTTGGTAGGACCTTTGTGTAAATGGTGCTCAGATACTAAATTTTAAAAGCTCATTAGTGGAGGAAGCAGTGAATGAACTAATAAATATGTTGCTGGATGTGGAAGTTCTGTCCAAAGAAGAAAGTGACAAAGTATCTAATGTAAATAGTGCTGATTCAAAAAACGAAAGTTCAGGTAAGAGATGGGGTAATGGAAGGGTCTTACTTGTCCAAGGGCATTACTGAAAACTAAAATTTCATTTGCTATATATCAGTTACTTTCACACTTCTGTAAACACTCTCCCAATTTTATAAGGACATTTATAAATCTGAAGTTATGATTCTGAGCCTATTGTCATTAGTCCCATTATTTTTTTTGTGAAATTCTACAAGCATGTACCTTGTCAGTATAATAGGATGGATGACGGATTGGAATTGCCATTAGAGGATCTCTGTCTATCCTAAAGCAAACCTTTCGTGGGGATGAGGACACTGACAGGTAGAGAAGGAAAGTGATTCCTCCGAGGCTTTATGGCTGTTGATAGAAGAGAGAGCATCAGAACCCAGGTCCCTGAGGCCCCGTCTTGCTTTTTCAGCCATAGCTCAGGCCTCTCCTCCTGTTTCCTCACACTGTGGAGCAGAGAGGCCTCCAATAACCCATGTGGTGCCCCAATTTCCTCTTCCTCGCTTTCTAGGAAATCTGACGTCTAAGTATGATTAAACTTGCACGTAATTTATCTTATCTCTTCAATTGCGATAGATGGTTCTCTTTCTTTCCATCTCCCTCCATCTTCTCATCTTGTAACAGCAAAGAGAGAAGGAAATTCCGACACCTTGACGTCATCCCTCAAGGCCCCGGCAGGCCTCTTGCCTTTGGCGACAGTCCTGAGAAAGAAGAAGGAGACTGAGATATTAGAAGAGGAAGCCTGCGGGTTACTCTCCCATTTTAACCATCTAAACACGGATGCGCTTCTGAAAGTTACAAGAAACGCACTGGAGGCCATCCGCAAGCGCATTCATTCCTGCAACATGGTGAACTTCCGGGGTAATAATTCTGCACAGCTTGCCTACTGGCGGGTCAGGCATGGTTGCTGCTTGTGTGTGTGTATATTCCTGCTATTTGTAAATAATTAAAAAAAATCCACCATTTACTAACAGCCTCTGTGTAAGTTTATACTTTATGAACTTTGATTATGCCAATAATTCTGTGAAGTAGGTCTTATTAATCCATACTTTCCAAAACAGAAAATGTTTTTACTATTTTTGGGTCAATTTGCTACTTTCCAGCTAGTTTGCTCATTCTTAATACAATCATCTGTCCTCTTAATACAAACTGTCCTCAGCACAGTTCAGAAACACATGTTGTATTCCCAGATGAGCCACAAAAATCCATCAAATCTAGAGACATTCTGCAATTACATTTTAAATTAAAAATTAAAATAAAATATTAATTAGGATAGAAAAATAATAGGGCAATAAACCCTTTTTATTTATTTTGAATATTGGCATTTAAGGGGAAGCGTCTTTAATCATTAAAAGTAGATGAGTAACAGTGGATACATTGAAGGGATTTTTTTGATTGGTAGCATGGTTTATTATGCTTTATTTCACTTTGGAAGGGAAGATAATCCTTTTATTTAACACCAGGGTATTATTAGAACTTACCAAGCGTTGGTTGATATGCTGAATATTAAATCACATGTGTTTCCAACTGTATATATTGCAGGTGTTTCCAACTATGTAAAGTTACAGACACACGTGCACACCCCCCCCATTTATATATCTATGCTATACTGATACTTATACCTACATGCAACTTTAAAAGCCCCTTAGTTATAAATGGTGAGTTACACCTTATTTCTTCTCCACTCTTTCACTGCTCCCAGTTTGGATTATACACACTGTGGTAGAAAGGTGTTTTATTTGAAATTTTCCCAACTGGTTATGTGCTCTGACTTTGCCTTATTCTGATAGTTATTCTTCTTCTTCATGCCTTGCTTCCTTATTCTCCATTTAACATTTAATTTGGTGGCATGGTGGTATGTGAACAGCATCCTTCTCAGTATTTTGGCTAACAGTTTACATATTTAAGCCTGATCCCACATAGTGGGTGTCCGTTATGGAGGGGGCACCAGTGGCTTGCATCAGTAGAAAATGCGTCGGTCCCACTGAACTGTTGTTATGTTGGATAAAACGAGTTCGTTTTCATTCATCTACCAAATATTTGTCTGATTATATATATCTATTATGTATTGTTCTAGGTGCTTTAATTTTTCCAGCTTAAAATGAAATAAAACCCATTTTAAATAAAAAATAGTAAGGCTTCCCTCTTTTGTGTTAACTCAGACAGTAACAGTACATCGAAGAGGAAGCAGAACAGTCTGCCCATTTTCCGGGCGGACATCACTCTGGCCATTCCCAATATTGCCATGGCCCCTGCCCTGGAAGACATACAGCAGACGCTGAACAAAGCTGTGGAGTGCATCGTCAATGTCACCAAGGGCATTAGACAGTGGAGCAGCGAGCTGTTGTCTAAGGTGGGTGTGGGTGAAGGAATTATTTCATATGGAAGGTTCTTCTGTTATGGATGGGGCTGAGCTGAAGAATATCCTTTCGCTTTGTAGAAAAAGATGCAGGAAAGACCAATGGCTGCTTTGCAGAATAATGAAGACAGTGATTCTGATGCTGAAATTGGAGAAAATGAACCTCAAGGTAAATGTTCCTTTAGTCCTTTTTAACCAGTCATTGAAAACCAACATTGATGGAGCTGAAATGTATTTTCCCTCCGTGCAATTCTTAAATCAGTGTTGATTGGAATATAAATCTATGAGCCAGTTTTAAGTTAATATAATATGAAGGTCCACGTATTTTAATATCGCCATTATAAATGTTATATATTTAGTGTATACATCACAGATATGGCTGCCTCACTGATTTCTGGTCCCTGGTAATGAAAAGAACAGGGGGACAAGGAAGACTTTAGTCTCACAGTTTAAAGAGAAACTTGTCATCATTGCAATGAATATTTTCTGACATTTAAGACATAGTTTGTATTTTAACCCAGTATGTGTCCTGTTGTGCTAATGTGTTGTGATTTTTGCCGTATGTCTCATGGTTTTCATTTATAGTCTGTAAAATTAGAGAACATATGATATCCAGTTGCTAGCGATATTAAATGTTGTCTTTAGTCCTGCAAACTCTTTCTACAGCAACCCTGCAAAAGGGAGACGCCATGTAATTTTCAATTATTATTTATATTCCTGCATGGTAAATCAGCTAACCATCACAAGAAACCGAAACAGGTACCTCTTTGAGATAGTCTGTCACTGAGAAAGAGAAAGATAGCTCAGAACAGTGTTGCCCACAACTTACAATAGTATTTATTGAAGCTAAAAAAAAAAAAAGCGTATGTTATTGTGTTAACTTCAATTTTTATACTATTTGGAAACACTGCTTTACTTCCTAAAATAGTCTAAAATGCAGAATTTTCTAAACTCAGAATATGCTCAGTCATGAATTATGTCTAAAATGGAGAAGAAAAAATGTTTAATGGAAAGTTGCCTGTATGTGTTTGTCATGACAAATGAATTAAAAAAATAAGCTGCATTAGAAAAAAATAACAGTTTTGAGATATAACTTACATACAATGTGTCCTTTATTTAAGAATTTATCCTTTTAACGTGTACAATTTGGTGGTTTTAGTATATTCACAGAGTTGTATGCTCATCACCCACTATTTAATTTTAGATCATTTTTATCACTCCCCATCCCCCTCCCCCCAGCCCCTGGGAACCTCCGACCTACTTTGTCTTTATGGATTTGCTTGCTCTGGACATTTGATATAAATGGAATCATACTGTACATGGTCTTTTGTGACTTCCTTTATTTAGCATAACCCTTTCTTTTTCTTAAAAATTTTTTTTTAATGTTTATTTATTATTTTGAGAGAGAGAAAGACAGAGCAAAAGCAGGGGGGATGAACAGAGAGAGAGAGGGTCAGACACAGAATCCGAAGCAGGCTCAGGCTCTGAGCTGTCAGCATAGAGCCCAACGCGGGGCTCGAACCCACAAACCTTGAGATCATGACCTGAGCCGAAGTCAGACACTTAACTGACTGAGCCACCCCGGCGCCCCTCGCATGGTATTTTCAAGGTTCATGTGGTAGCAAAATGTCAGTACTTCATTTCTTTTTATTGCTGAGTCATATTCCATTGTATGGACATGCCACATTTTCCTGATGCATCCGTTAGTTGAGCATTTGGGTTATTTCTGCTTTTGGACACTTGTGCATAATACTGCTGTGAACATCTGCATAAAGTTTTTGTACAGACATGTTTTGTTTTCCTTTCCGTTGGGTCTGTACCGAGGAGTGGCATGGCTGAGTCCGCAGGGTAACTTTATGCGTAACATTCTGAGGACGTGCCAAACTGTTTTCCAGAGCAGTTGTGCCATTTTCCACCCCCACCAGCGGTGTGTCAGGCTTCTGCAAAAGCCCCCTGCACCCTCACCAGCCCTTGTCTGCTTTGGTTGTAGCCATTCTCGCAGGGGTAAAGTGGCACCTCAGTGGGGGTTAGATTTGCCCTCCCCTAATGACTAATGATGTTGAGCATCTTACGTGGTTTTTGGCCATTTGTATATCTTGTTTGGAGAAATGTCTATTCAGATTTTTTGCCCATGTTTTAAAATATTGGATTATTTGTCTTTTCATTGGTGAGCTGTAACAGTTAATTACCTCAATACAATATCATAATTTGCAAATATTTTCTCCATTCTGTGGGTTGTCTTTCACTTTCTTAATGGTATCTTTGAAAGTATAGATGTTTTAATTTTGATTAAGTCCAATTTAGCTGCTTTTTTTTTTTTTTTTTTTTGGTGCTTTTGATTTTATATTTAAAAAAGGGTTGTGGGGGGTGGGGTGCCTGGGTGGCTCAGTCTGTTAAGCATCCAATGCCCTGTTTTGGGCTCCCCGCTGACAGAGTTTGGGATTCTCTCTCTCCCTCTCTCTCTCTGCCCCTCCCTCACTCGTACTCTCTCTCTCTCTCTCAAAATAAATAAACTTAAGAGAAAAAAAGAAACAGGGGCGCCTAGTTGGCTCAGTCAGTGAAGCCTCCTACTTTAGCTCAGGTCATGATCTTGCAGTCTGTGGGTTCGAGCCCCACGTTGGGCTCTGTGCTGACAGCTCAAAGCCTGGAGCCTGCTTCAGATTCTATGTCTCCCTCTCTCTCTGTGCCTCCTCTGCTTACACTCTCACTCTCTCTCAAAAATAAATAAAAACATTAAAAAAAAAAAAGAAGAAGAAGCAGTTGTGGGGCACCTGCCTGGTTCAGTTGGCGGAGCATGTGATTCTTGATCTCCGGGGTAATGAGTTCGAGCCCCATGTTGGGTACAGAGATTGGTTAAAAATAAAATCTTAAAAAAAAAGAAAAAAAAAGAAAAAAAGAAACTGTTGCTTCACCTAAGGTCATGAAGGTTTACTGCTATGTTTTTTATTTTTTTTAACATATTTTATAGTTTTAACTGTTATATTTCGGCCTGTGATCCATTTTGAGTGAAATAGGATTTCAAATTCATTTTTTGCCTGTGTATATTCACTTGTGACAGTACCATTTATTGAAAAGACTGTTTTTTCCCAGCTGCATTTTCTTGGGACCTTTGTTAAGAATCAGTTGACCATGAATGTAAAAGTGAGCATTTAGTTTTGTACCCTTGCTTTTATTTCATTGATCTTCTGCACCGCCCTGTCTTGGTTACTGAAGCTTTGAAGTAAGTTTTGAAGTTGGAAAATGAATCTTCCAATATTTTCCTTTTTCAAGGTTGTTGATGACTATTCTGGGTCCCTAGTATTTCCATATGAATTTTAGAATCAGCTTGTGAATTTCTACAGAAAAAGGCAGCTGTGATTTTTATAGGCATTGTGCTGAATTACAGAGTATTGAAATGAAATTTGAAAGGATTCAAATAATGCAAAGTACATTCTCCCACCGTATTGTAAAAATCAGTTACAGGAGATTTGGGAAATTCCCAAATACATAAAAATTAAATAACACACTCTGAAATAACCAATGAGCCAAAGAAGAAATCACAAAGGAAATTGGGAAGTACTTTTAGGATGAAAGCAAAGGAAAACACAAAATACCAGAACTTATGAAATGTAGTTGTAATAGCACTTGGAAGGAAATTTATAATCTTAAACATGGACATTAAAAAAGAAGAAATACCTTAAATCCATAACCTAGTCTTCTGTCTTTTTTTAAAAATTTTTTTTTTTTTCAACGTTTATTTATTTTTGGGACAGAGAGAGACAGAGCATGAACGGGGGAGGGGCAGAGAGAGAGGGAGACACAGAATCGGAAACAGGCTCCAGGCTCTGAGCCATCAGCCCAGAGCCTGACGCGGGGCTCGAACTCATGGACCGCGAGATCGTGACCTGGCTGAAGTCGGACGCTTAACCGACTGCGCCACCCAGGCGCCCCTTAGTCTTCTGTCTTAACAAAACTCTTTTCAAGGTCACTATTTTTTTCTTCTAGAGACTGTAATCTGTTGAGCCCCTCTTGTGAATTCTCATTTCATTTATGTTCTCCTCAATCTCAGAATTTGCATTCAACTCTTTTGTATTTCTTTCTTTTTTTTTTTTTT